GTGAAAAGAGAGTGTGCAGCATCAGTGGAGACAACAAAATCTCATTACAAAATTAGGCCTGACAGACATAACATGCTAAATTAGAATTCACCTTGGTTTTAATTATACAAACTTAACATACTCCTCTGCATCCACAGCAATCTGAATTACTTCAGAGCAGGGTCACATAGGTAAGTATAGGAGAAGTTGAGTATGAGAGCTGGGTATGTTCATCACTCTCTTTCTGCATGTAGGCTTTGCCTGTGTTCTATTTCTGTTGCTGAAAATATTTTTCTCACCATCTGTGAAATCACTGTTAAGTGATATCAGTGAATTTTGTTTCTCACTGTGCTTTTTTTTTTACTTTTCAGCCTCAACAAGTGGTTCAAAAGAAGCCTGCTCAGGTAAGATAAGCTATTTTAAATTCTTTGAACTACTTGAAATGAAAAAATTATTCAGTATTTAAATTGGTCTCCTTTACTGTGAAGAATGAAGGGTAATACATCAACCCTATGAGTTGGGGGACAGCTGTTGGTTTGCTAGGCACAGGTACCAGGGCAGCTCAAGCACTGGCACTTGGGAATGGGAGGAGAAGGCAGTGAATGGTGCTTGCTCAGAAATGTCTTCTTTCTGCAGTGACCACTTTGTGGTGGTAATGCAGGCACATGCAAACCTAGATCTGGTAAAAGTCCATGTCATGGGTATCTCTCGTGTGTCCTTCAGAATGGGTAACTGGGACTGCTCAGCAAGGAGGGGAACAGGTCTAAAACCCTTCTGCCCATTGGTTTACAGGAGTTTCTAAATCCACAGAAGTAAATAGGCTGAACTTGGTAACTAGACTGGATCCATCGTGAAGAATAATATATTTGAACTTCTGCTGTTGAATGGCATTGTTCTTCTTTAATACCTTGGACAAAGTGCAAGCTAGGGTGTCATGTCTGAACACTGCATTTGAGATTGCCATCATGTTCTTTCTCCAACCTACTCCATATATAAAAAATACCCCGAACAAACACCCTAACTCTGCCACTTGGTTAGATATAAACTAACAAAGAAAAGTAGCATGGGAGCAGGTCTGTCACTTCCCACCAGACTCCATGGGCTCTGCTGCTATACCTTGGTGAACATGAATGACTGCTGAGTCAAGAGCATAAAGGGTTCATTACTTTACTGGAAAGAGGTCTGCTTTCAGTAGGGAACAGTACTTTTGTTTTTCTGCCTTATGGTTTTAATACACTATTGTACAGTGTGCATTATTATAATGTCTACTGTAATCTGAATTAGGAGCTGTTACACAAGAAAGAGAAAACATCTTAGCTGTGAGTTGAAGGGGCAAAATGATGTAACTCTCAAAAGCACATGCAGGAGTTTGGTTTCTACAAAATAAATCAATACAGTCACAGCAATTATGAATCCTTGGCACTGGCAGTAACGATTACATCTCTGAATGGTGTATAAAGTATTCAGGATGAATGTAGTAGTATTTTCAAGTGAGGTAAGTTTTGCAAGGAGAGGTAATGTCTTTTGTTAGGCCAGCTTATGCAAGAAACACATCAGTCCCCAAGGACTTACCATCTATAGCCTTCTAACTACACTACACAATTCAAAGCACACCAAGTTGTTCTAATAAAAGATATTTCCTCTCCCTGGTCTCTCCTACATCCTTCAACTGTTATGGCCACAATTGGGCTATTCCTACTAAAAACAGCTTGGTAGTAAATCTGCCAGTGGGCAGAAAGCCAGCCATCTCCTCTGGGGCACCTGAGAGACAGGGAGGCTTAAACCCTGCTGTGCAAAGGAGGCCAAACCCAAGAGGCAGAGGCTCCGAGAGGCTGTTCATGTTGCACTTTGCTCCAGGACATGACAGAGCTCATCCCCACCAGGGTCAGTGGGATAAAGGTGTCTAGAGGTGGCGGCTCTACCTGCAGCCTAACCAGGTAGAAGCCACTGCTGCTGGTGGGACATGTGGTGTCACTAGCTCTCTAGTCTCCCTGGGCAGTTATTGCTGTGAGTATTTTGTTTGTATGAGCCCTGGCACGAGAGAGAATGAAATGGCCGGGACTGAGACTGCACCAGGGTGTGGGAGAACAGAGAGGGGACCTGCAACTCCATCTTTTGGTAGCAGGACAAAGTAACGACAGATTCAATTGATGGCGAAACGCTGTGGGCATTTGAACCAACGCGCGGGGGTTACCTGAATGCATCTTCCTGACCCTTCTCTCCTGAAGAGGTGACTCCGGCGGGGATGCTGTGGGGTGTTTCAGCCAGCCAGATGCAGCCACTGCTGCACAGTGCCTCAGCAGCATCTCTGTGGTCAGAGACAGAGAGAGAAAAAAGAAGGCCCTTTGACATTCCCATTAGTAATGGAAATGTTTGTGTAGAAATGAGGAGGCACAGAGGAATGCATGAACAGAGAGAGAAGGCTTTTTAGAAATCCCCAGTCACCACAACACAACAAGTGAAATCACACTCTTTAAAGTATTTGTGTGCCATGCCTTCACTCAGAGAACATTTCTTTTCTTTTCAATCCTTTGGCCTGAGGGATGTGCAGTAAAATTATTGACTTGTCTTTAACCCTTCCTGGTTTTAATAGGCCCTGGTCCCACACTTACACTAGCACAACATTGCGGTTTTGCTGGGTGTGGGTGCGTGCAGAGAAGAAAAATCATTGCCGTGAGTAAGTGGTCCTGACAGTGTCTTCCTGAGACTGAAAGAAGGAGGAGGTAAAACAGTGTGATGCCTGGGACGATCAGGAACTTCATGCTGCTGGGTTTCACTTAAGTCCGGTTGCCTTTCTCTATTTTCCTTTTGCACTACTGAATTTCCCTTTAAAGGAGGGAGATTCAGACTCAGGATTAACAACAAGAACATGAGCTCATGCAGGCTTCCTAATCTGAGCTGTCTAAGGAAATAGTGATAAATTATATAAACATGGGGACTACATGGAAGTTCATGGAGGATAATGTAAATCTTACACTACATTCAGAGGAATCTCTTCCTTTTCCATCTGTTTCCTTCAAAATATCCTCCCAGATGGCTTTACCATGTGGCAGTCTGGATTAAGTTAGAAATGTATCCTTTCTTCATCAGCGGGAACTGTAACACGTTACAGTCAAGAACCACTGTGTGATGGTGAGCATATTACCCCAGCCTGCCTTGGTAAAAGTGGCAGAAACTCTTGGTTATGTTTCACCCCTGAGTGCCATGCCTTGAATTTTGGTGTGTTCTCAGAGATTTCTGGGAGCATTAGTTTACATCACTGTTACTCTTGTTACTCTTGCTAGTACCTGTGCTGCTTGGGTTTGTGTAATTTTTAAAAATATAGAAACAGCAAGACCAAATAAAATTCTCATTTTAAGAATAGCAGCTCCACCATGATCTAAATCTTTCTGTGGACATCTGCTGTCCAATTTAGGGCCATACAGATGCCTATATAATCTTCTGCAGCATCTCCAAACAGCCTCAGAGTTCTTAAGTTTTACTGTCACACATACAATAAATGCAAAAGTATAATCCACTGGAAATCTACACACCCAAGTCATTAATACAAACGTTTAATTGCTATGATCTGTATACATCTTTGTGATGATCACTGACACACACTCTCACACTTTCTTGGGGAAATGAAGAGAAGATGGCCAGATGTCCATGTGACATCAGTGATTTTAACACCTTCGCATAAATATGTGCCTAAACCTCAAAAACAAGATGCTCCTTTGAAACCCACTCTGTCTCCAAAGAATGGACAGCCAAAGCGTACAATTGTTATGTAGTAATACTCTTAACGAAGTGGGCAATTAAGCAGTCCAAATAGAAATAGAAATTTCTCCATTTCCTCATTTTTAAGCTTTTTGCAGCAGCTGTAGGTTCAGCCATATGGGGGATTTACACTCTTAAGTAATACAAAGGAAATAGGTATTTTTAGGAAGACATCATGAAAGCTATCAAAGTTTTCTGGAAACAGGACATGCTTTTATTTGTGTGATTTCTGGAGAGAAAAATTCTGTGAGTGTAGGACAGCCCTTTGAGAATACTCTTACAATCTCTTTCAGAGGTCTGTTAAACTCTCAAATCCTTACAAAACCTTTGCGTCTTAGTCTGAAAGACAGATATCAGTCAGAAAAGTACACATAAAGTATACATAGAAAAGTGTATACAAGGAAGTGTATGGAAAAAATACACCAACAGTACACATGAAATGTACTTTCTACCTAATGCGGAACACACTAGATGATTTTAAAGCAACATCCAAAAAAACAAATCCCAACAAAAATGAAAGCTAAAAAGAAAAGTGTTATTTGGTATCAGAAAGAAACACAAATTTGCTGTATTTTTTCCTGTTACTCATTCCTTAGTATCAATAAAGCTATGCGTGTTACCTAGTCATGATATATTTATACCTCAAAACCTCAAGTTATATGTGTTCCCCAGCTGTATCCATCACATATGCCTATTCAGTGCAGAACACAGTAAATGCTAAAAGCATCAGATAGGCTCTGCAGCCCAGGAGCTCCATCAGTGACTCACATATTCATATGCAGCCTCAAAGCAGCAGACTCTGAGCAGAGCTGAGCCTGGGACCCATCATGGCTGTGTGGCAGGTTTGACACTCTGAGACACCCTGGTCAGCAGGCCCACGATGTGCTGCATCACCTCTCTGGGCTGTGCAATAAATCCACACTTACACTTTGAGATCCAAAGGCTCCCTCTGTGTTGGATTATGCCATGGCACTCCTACGCTTCAACTGTCAGAAACTAGCTGATAAGGACATGACATCTCCAAGCAGCACGTTGCAGCAGGCAAGACTGAATCCTCCAGACAGCCCCTGACAAAGCCATGAAGCAAAAATACCATGCTAAATCTGATTCCTTTTTAATCACATCAAATTACAAACGTGTGTACTCTCGTAACTCCTTACACAGGAAAGGAGCATCAGCACCCCTCAGTTTTAACAGGAGGGGAATCAAGGCACTAGGAGAGTTGCCTAAAATGGGACTTGCTCACTGCAGTGCTCAGCATGGATGACTTTCTGAATGCAGCGCTGGTCACACAGTTGTCCATTCAATACAGACATGCTCTCAGGTTGCTGCTCTTTCCTTGTGTGCTGGGCAGGGCTTGTCCCTAATGGCACATAGAAATGTTCAGGGACTGCAGCTGTTGAGCCTGCCCTCAGAGCACGTGAAGCAGTTGATGGTAGAAGGCTGGAGGCTGAAGAGAGAAGCTAAAACGTTTCCTTAAGTCAGCAGTGCTCCTCTTCATCCTCTCCCCACCTCATTGCTCTCCCCTCCGTACTTGGGGAAGAAGCTCAAGGCAGGCAGGTGATGGCTGTGGGCAGGGTGGCTGCAATGTGACATGAATCAAATTCTCACCAGCAATAGCCAGAAGAGAAGGGGCTGTGATGTG